CGCTGCTCTGACGCACACGATGGAAAGTCATGTTACTCTGATAACCAGCAGCCAGGAGCTGTCAGACTTTTGCAGCATTAATGCACAATTAGCAGGCTCTTTTTCCTCATCCTTCAGACCCTCACTGTGGAAACCACTGAGTTGTGGGTTCAGAGTGTTCAGTAGAAATATTTCATCAGGAGTGAGCTGTTTGTCCTGTTTTGTTCCTGTGTCACACTACAGGAGCTACTGAAAGTTTTCAATCTGTTAAAACTGCAAACACCCACCCACTCTGTAAACACAAAGTTATTTTGTTCAAATGGTTGTCTAATAAAAGAGAAAATTACTTGTTGACATTGTCGGATTATAGCCAACAGCAGTGTGAACTTGGGGGTTAATTTCCTTTATTTCACTTTCTTAAACCTTTAAAAACAATCTTTGCAGAATCTGTGATTCATAGTACAACAAAGCTCCTGCCCACTCAGGTTTATCACTATTAGATAGGTCCATCAGTATTTTCCCTTGTATCTCATCATTTCATTTTAGTGTACACTATAAAATAAAAATGTAAACAGTAAGAAGAATATTAGTATTTGATTCAGCCTTCTGTTAAAAAGTAATTTTTGGTCACGTCACTACTTCATTGTACATGCATTATGTTCATTTGTACTCTTGTTGCTCTTATGAGCTGCTGATAACTGTTGAAGTACCGTAGGCCCTGTCAGAGTTCAGCTGTCTAATAACAGCAGGGTTGAGAAGTGAAGGGCAGGGCATCCTCCCTCTCCCTCTCTTTGTATCAGTGCTCGCATCCTTTTCAAAGTCACTCATGAGCAAGGCTCTTTGTTTTTCAAGATAAACAGTGAGTCCGACAATAGTGTTTAAAGTCAGCTGGCCTTTAAAAGTACTCTGTCACCGTGCTTCAAGGAAACTGGCTCAGGAATGCAATAATCACAAGGTCTGTTGTGTGGGTGGGAGTCGGGGTGTTCACCTGTGTGCGTCTGTGCACATATCAATGTGCCTTTACACTGTATGATTGTGTATTTTTCTGTGGAGCCATGTATCTGTGTGTGTGCTTCTTCCCTTGTGGTGTTGTTTTTTTAGCCATGTTATGTATATCAGTCTGTTTGTGTTTGCTTGTTTTGTTGTCCTTGTGAACACGTCTTTGTGTATGTGTTTCCTGGTTTGAAATGTCAGCTTTCAGCAGTCACCCTCTGTGGTTTCTGTTGAGTTCGGCTCAGGGGGAAGCAGACAGTGCTAATCCATCACCGCTTTGCAGATGGTCAGAAATACAAGTCAGTCCACAAAATAGGACACAGGCAAACTGCCTCATGCAGCATACAAACAGTCTGAATCAGAGCTGGCAGAAGCCTGAAGTTTACAGAACAAGATTGTTCACTGGCCCAGTTCTGTTTGGAAAACTCTGATGGATCTTTGGTCTTGCTGTATAAACATAAACTGATCGGCCTCAGCATTAAAACCATTGGCAGGTGAAGTGAATAACACTGATATCTCATTACACTAGGTAGCATGAACAGTCAGTTCTTGAAGTTGATGTTTTGGAAGCAGGAAAAATGGGTGAGCGTGAGCGGTCAGAGTGCCCACACTGACCCCTGCAATTGTTATGTTAACAAAGCTGGACCATGGAGAAATGGAAGAAGGTGGCCTGGTCTGATGAATCACATCTCTTTTACATCATGTGTGGCTGTTTGCACCTCTCTGTGTGGTGCTCTTTGTGTCTTTTTTTTTTTTTTTTTTTTTTTGCCTTTTTGATATCTGTTATGATACATTGAGCAACACCACTGGGTTTTTGCAAAACCTTCTTTGAGCAGCTGATTCTCATCTATTCAGTTTCAGTGAGAGATCATCGATCACTCTGTGCTGCATGACTGGATCGCATGTGATGTAAAACAAACTGATGACAGAACAAAAAACTCGGCTTGAGTTATTGAAATGAAAGTCAGTATGACCGTGTTTGCAGCTGTCACGTCTGGGTAAACGAGGCAGCTCGGGATTTCTACAGACAGAAGCTAAATAATTAGATTATTACGGAATCATTCTTTGCAGGAAAGTAAGAATCCGAAACTTTGTGATTCAGCTTTACAGAAGCTGTACAGCGGAGAGCAACAGATGTTGGCCGTGTCTCTGGTGTGTAGATAATTGAAGAAAGAATAAATTAAGCTGTTGCCTTTCAGCTAACCTCACTGCAGCATTTGTAGGAATTAATTAGGTGTTTTCACCTTGTTGCAGCAGAAAAGTAAAAAGAGCATAAACAAACTTGATGAGCGAGCGACTGCAATGGCCACAAGCAGCTGAACACAATGGATGATGGCGATGACTTATGAATTAATTGCATGCTAAAGGGGATTTTCTGTCTGTGTTGGAAATTTACTGCATCATTCCCTCTTTTGTAGGAATTGAGCATCCACTCAGTGTTTTCATTTCCAAATTATGATTTATCAGATTTGGAAAGCTGAGTGGAAACAGCAAACATGTCCTCAGAACCAAGATATTTTGGTTGATCGATGTGGAAAATCTTCCCAGCAATAAGTAAATCATGTGACAAATGGAGAAAAGTGAACCACTAAGTAAAAGTTATTGCTGACAGTTTCCATGGCTGCTCCAGGTTTGTTACATAACAGTCCCTGTCCACCAAATCCACCCATTACTGACATCTGTACAGTGCCCCCCCATGCATAACTCTTCATTAGCTGCTGCATTATAATACAGCCAAGTGCTTTTCTTTGTTTTTGGCTTTGTATGAAATACAGCCGATATTAAGTGACTGCAGAAAATAAATGACTTACTCAAATCTGATCAGCTCTCGGAGGATTCTGGTTTTTCATTTTTCTGTTGGATGCGTTTTCTGACAGAAAGCCGAGAGAGACGCAGCTCACGGTTTGAAAGCAGCAACCTCTCGTCTGCCCCTCTACCTGTCTGATTTTCTGCCTGTCTACCTGGTCACATCATCTTTTTATAATGCCCCTTGTCTCTGGCCCTCATTCTTCACTGAGGTTAGAGGGGCTCTTCACTGTCTGTCACCCAGAAAGGAAAAAGGGGGCAAGGAGATCAGAGGAAGAGCAGGCTGTGGTGATGAGGTAGTGAGAGATGCAGAGAGAGAAACAAGGCAGGACATAAAACTGCAGGAGCTTGTAATGGTGTTTCCTAGGTATTAATTAGCCGCAGTCATTCCTGTACAAACACAGTAATAAAACCAATATACTGAGCTGTTCTCCTCTCCTGTACTCCCCCACCTTCTTTCTTTCTCTTCTCCTCTCTCCCTTTGACTTCATTTCCCTCCCCATATTCTCTACTCATTTTTCTCCTTTCCTCTTTCGCTTATTTCTTACTTCCTTCTCCTCTTTTCTCCTCATTTTCTATCCTTTTTCTCTCCTCTTTTCCCTTCTCCCCACCTTGGTGAGGAATATGAGAAAAAAGTGAGAGCATGTAGGTGGGGAGAAAGAGAAAGAAGGAGGAGTGGATCACACTGTCTGTCTGTCCTCTTGTACTGCTGAAAGGGAAGGCAAGATTCATCATGGCCTTAGCTCACTGTCCAGCACACACACGTGCACGCACTTTTGTAAACACTTATTCGCACACAGAAATCCATGCAGTTTCAACACACACAGACACACAGGCAAAAGTTGGACACACACACACAGAACAGTGTTCATAAACAAACACACTTAGAGTTAAACACAAACTCAGATTTAACACACACACACACATGCACGTGCGTACACTCATCTTCTTGCTCCATTGCATTATTTATTTGCACAAGCTGGCAGACAGTGGAGGCAGCCAAGCCGCTGAAGTGAGGATGCTGCTTCTTACCTATGGCCTTTTTATATACTGCTCTGTGACAGATACACACACACACACACACACACACACACACACACACACACACAACAGTCTTACTCTCGTCTGCCCTATCCTCGTCTGTCCTGGTCTGTCATCTCTCTTTCCACCTAAATTAATATCTCTCCCTCTCGCTCTTTCGTTCCTCTCATACATGGTGAGTTTTCTTCCTGCTCCTGTCCTCCCTCCTCTCTCCACTTAGTTAACCATTATTCTCCTCTTCCTCATCTCCCAGTCCTCCCACATCTCTACCATTCCTCCTCTCCTTTTTCTTTCTGGCAGTCATTTCTATTCAGCAGTTCACCCAGAGAGACCTGTTCCCCTTCGAGTCAAGGCAAATATACAGCATATTACTGCTTCTCTCGCTGCTTTTGCCTCATTAACATCTCTCTCTGTGATTCTCCCTTCCTCTGTATTACAGGGGATCTTGCAGAGTTGCAAGATGCTGTTTATTTCCAACTCACAAGCAGATACTGGCCATCAAACCCTGAAACTTTTTCAATACCAACCAAAACCATTAAAAGTTTGGTTAAATTCTTGGTCTTGGTTGCTCAGTTTTTGATCGGATAGTTCCTGATTTAAATGAATTGTTTAATCTTCTTAACACCACATTAAACAGTGCTGTGTGGGAAAGTTTGGTCATTTTGGTGTTGAAAGCATGATATGGAAACTTCTTTTGTAATATTTGATTTGCTTCTGTTCTTTAACAGCTTATTTAATCTCACTCCCTCATTCAACTCCTCTTCTTCTTCCTGTCATGTTTTTCCTTTCTCCAGTCTCTTTGACAATTTTTTCTACTTTGTGTCACAATAAACAAGTTAAAACTCCCTTAGGGGATTGGTAGAAAGGAGGAAGGAGAAAAGGTTTCCCTAGAAACGGTGAAACAAAATCATCCTCTTAATTCTAAGTGGTAAGACTCTTGCATTTTGCATCTTGAGTTTGACCGGAATTTTGTGGCCCTACATAAATATGATGTTACTTATGTGAAAATAATTTGGACTTGATGTATGGGGGCGATTTATGGCGTCATGTGCACATCTTTTTCTCTTCCAGTTATCCCTTCCTTTCTGTGGAAGCGTACTGTATACCTTCACTGTTTTTGACCGTCTGTCATTTTGTCTTCCTCTCTCCTCCTCCTCCTTCCTTCCTCTCTCTCTGTGCAGGTGTTTCGTACCGACTTCATCACGGCCATGAAGCTGCCGGACTCGGCCCAGCTTGGCATGGACGACTTCTACTTGCTCTCCGATCCCTGGAGACAAGAGTGGGAGAAGGGAGTACAGGTCCCTGCCAACTTGGAGGCTATACCGGAGCCTTTGGTCAGGTAGGACACACCAGGACACAAACTGCCATCAACTCCTGTGCATCTGATATCAAGTAAATGAGCACATGTGATTCTCCTTTTGATCTTCATTTCATTAAAGTCATTGGAAGACAGAGACAACCCAGCAACTGGCAGCAACTGTTGTACGGTGGCACACAATGCATTGTTATTTGTTTGATTGTGGTTCACTGACAGTTCATCCTTTGGCAGCACATAGACATTATGTCACCACCATAAACATGCAGAGACGCTGGCAGAGTTCCCATAGACCAGTTTGGAGCATTTGTTTTGATGACTAAGAGTTGTTTTGGAAAATTGCCTAACTTTCAATGAACTTTTGGAAAAGTCTGGAAAGTTTAGTCTCCGCAACGTTGATTCAACCTTGAAAGTTAAACTTACTGAAGTAATTTTGACAAGACGTGCATGCTGAGTTACCAAAGGTTTAAAGGTATTGCTGAGATGATTCAACAGATCTTTTTTAAATAAAAAGTGTGGGAACCTGTTACATAATAAAACTGCATGTAATCAGACTTTTTAGCACATGCACACACTCATACCTACATGCAGGAATCTACAGTACAAAGACACAAACTGAGACCCTCTGCTTTCTGCTCCCTAACTCATGTGTAGACAAACCCACACTCTGGGAGGCAGGTTTCAGTGCACATGCAGGCGATGAATCCCAGAATCAAGCTGGTAGGCAGATGTGTGCAGGCATGCACTTTGACCCACATATATTCACTCTCATGCTGTAGATAAGTCTGGCCTCTCTCTCCCTTTCTCACCCCAGTAGGCTGTTGTGGCTCTCTAGTAATGCTGCAGCTGCTTCACATACTCGTGTGGCTTTTTTGGCATTCTAGGAACTAATGAAAATGCTCAGACTGCCTGGTAATCTGTCATACTGCGAGGCCACAAAACACATACACACACATGCACTTTCTTTGTGGGACAGACAGATTTTAAAGTCATGTGACATTTGGTCAGATCGTCTGTATCAATGATCTTTTTACCTGCCTCAAGTAAACCAGATGCAAAGAAGCTCAGGCATATTTAATGGTGCAGCTTTATGCTAAAATCACTAAATGTTTTTCATCAGTCTACACTCGGCTCCTCGTGATGACAAAAGTGAAAACAGAAGTTTAGAAATTGATCAAAAGGAAAAACTAATACTGCATTGACACAAGTATTCAGACTCTTTGCTGTGTGTTTGTATTTGTAGCTAATTATTGCACTTCCTTTCTTGTGTGTGCTTTATCCTTATGGGCCACTGTAGTTTACACGGTGTAGCAGGTTAATATCTAACCAGACACACACAGTATGGAGCTAACAGACTCAAGTGAGACCGCAGGCAGAGCGACAGATGACAAGACTGGGAGAGGAGGAGTAATGGCAAAGATGGATAAGGATAGATTTATGAATCATGGCTTATCTATTTTTTGATAAGTGATAGAATGATGAAGTGATGTACAGCGATAGTGAGATGGAGCGGTGATGGTTAGATCAGGAGATCGAAGATCTGGCAGTGAATGTAAGTGTGACTGAGCTGATGGTCTTGTCAGGGCTTTGTTCATCTTTTTCCTCTTCTCAACTGCTCTTTCTCTGCCTCCTTTCTTTTACTCTCCTCACACTATTCTTTGATATGTTTGTGCTGATATCACCAGCTTTGGGCTTAAATGGTTTACCTGTACAAGCCTCTGTGGTCAGGCAAAGTCAGCAGTAGGGGTCCTTATTAAACACAGCATCAGAGCAGATTTGATGCATTTGCAGTATAACAGGATGCTTAGATAACTGGTATAAAATGTATTGATTGTCTAGTGGAGAATAATAAAATGTTAAGGAACTGAACTTTAGAAGAACTGAGAGAAAGTGGTAGTTTATACAGACAAGAGATGAAACTGATTTAACACACCAGAGTGGTGAGCAGCACCACGAGGTCTGATGTCTTAGCTCCTTCCCTTGAAAAACAATGGCTCACATAGGTGCAAAGCAACAGATGAGCAGAGATCATGTGTAGTAGAGGGTCATTGTGTCAGAAATGACAGTCCAGTCGTCGCTACATGTGACCACAGCTGGTGCCAAACTACTCATTTTCTTAAAAAGTCTCAAACTGTCAAAACTTTATTTAAAATATCAAAGTGGATGTGTAATGAAAAGAAAAATTGCAGCTATTTTTTTGCAGTTTTAACTTGCTCCCTCCCGCAACTCCATTGCAAAACAGAACAATAAACAAACAAAAGGAAAAACACAGCATGTGTAGCAGTTTTTTAGAAAAGCTGCCATGAAATCTAACGAATCAATCACAATCAAATCAGGTAACAAACAAGTCCATGAAATCTTAGAGCAATTAAATTACTCAAAGTGTTGCTTGTATTAAAACAAAAAGTAAATTGAGGATCAAAAGTATGAGTTGAGGCAGTTTACCCTCTGTTCCCCTCTCTTCCCCATCTCCATCCGTTGTTTTTTCTAGTATTAACTATGTTTGTCCTCATCTCTCTTTCCATTTTCCTCTTTTCTGTTGGCTCTTTTTCTGTCTTCACCTCTACATCTCACCTTCTCCCTACCTCTCCTCCTTTCCCTTCTACCTTCCTCTCCTCTTTTCACTTTAGTTGAGCTGGCGGCGCAGACACATTTTTCTTTTTTGTGAATAATGACATCATCGCCAAAAATTGTTGGAGAGGAAAAGGGCTTCGGGCCCCGTCTGGCTCTGACAACACTCCTCTTCCACATTTGCTTCTCTTCTGGGACATGTTTGGCAGCTGCGGCATGATTTTCAGTAAAGCATTGTGATGGACGGTGAAGAGGTCATTATGGTTCGATGCTGTTTGTTTTGTGCCTCTTCTTACCAGAACACTGCAGAGGAGACGCATTGTCTCCCTGTCCTGCCAACTTTCTGTTCTTGTCCTTTGCTTCCCCAATTTCGCTTCCTTGCTCTCCTCTTCTTCTCTTTCATTTTTCATTCTTTCTTTATCTCTGCACCTTCAGCCCTTCCCAGATAATTTTTCTCTTTTTCCTGACTTATCCTTTTTCTTGTCCTCTCGTCTGACCATCTGTCCTCCCCTCTCTCTATTTAGTTTTATCACTCTCTCCCCTCCTCTATTCCTTCCTCTCTGTCCCTCTGCTTCACCGTGGTTTTTCTGGGGCCTAGTGGAAGTAATTAGCCATTGCATAACACTGCCTATGTGCAGACAGTGAATGGGGCTTTGGCAGCGGCTCGACTTCCTGGGTCCCTACTGACAGCGTTGAGCTGGAGAGGAAAATAATTACACACAAACATGAGGAGATCTGTGCCTTTTCACAGAATGAAAGAAATGAGATAGCGGGTATTGCTTCATTTTATCCCCTCGGACCAGTGGCCGAGTTGGTGAATGTGAACCCGTTGTTTGTGGTTTGGCTGAACACACTGGCTTTGTGAGCAGTGTGTAACGCTGCGGTCAGGGATAGCGTCACACAGAGAGAGTCCTCACCAGAGCGGTCTGTGTACTGCTGAACAAAATGATTGATTATGTCGGTTTTTAAGAAAGTACTTTTTGGAAACATTGTTCAACTGCTTGGTCAGCATCCAGACATTCTACAGAGTCGAACTATTTAAAGTTAACATTTGCTTGACAAAATTTAGGAATCCATGGGAATTATCAGATGTGAAGCTTGATATGGAGATTGCAGGATAATGGGATACAGTATGCGATGCAGTGTCTGCGGATCACGTTTCTGGCAGCTATGCAGAACTCTGGTCGGACATGCTATGTAAAACCTTTGGTCGACAAGCTTTAAGCCCTGCTCAGAGGGGATGGATGGTGCAAACAGCGAGGGAGGATGGAGAGAGAGTGTTGACAGTGCATTCACTGTAGTAACCTGGCTGCTGTAAATCCACATGTACATGTTGTCCGTGTCAGATCAGATTGACAGCGCAGTGAGAGAAGGACAGGCTGGTGGAGCTCCTATTCATAGCTATTATCAAATGTTCAGTAGTGGAAACCGACGTGCATATATCGACTTCTACAGGCCACTTTGTTTCAGTTCAATTCAGTTTCATTTGCATAGTGCCAAATCACAACAAAAGTCATCTCAGGGTGCTTTTCAAAGTAAGATCTTATTATTATTATTATTATAGAGGAAAACTCAACAAATCCCCTTGAGCAGAACTTGGTGACAGCAGGGAGGAAAAACTCCCTTTAATGGAAGAAACCTCTGACACACCCCAGCTCTTGGTGGGCGGTTGATGTGGCTGGTGACTGCTCATCGGTAACGTAGAGCTCCAGACCCAGGGCTACCTGCAGAAGGTAAATACTTGGAGGCATCTCTCCATGTCATGATCTCTCCTTGCATCCAGCCACCCTGCTCGACTGCTGTCCCTGTCTTAACCCTGTTGTCATGCATGTGCAAACTTGACAACACTGATTAAAAGCCCACTCACAATACATGGCTGAGAAATGATTAAGGTAACCAGGTTTACATGACAGGGAGGATATCAGCTGGAGAAAAGAGGCTGTATACTGGTTACATAAGTGCACCCGATATTCACAACATCCTCCATCCATTATCTATACTGCTTATCTTGAAGAAGGCTGCACGGTACTGGAGCAGTTTGAAGGATATTTTTGAAGATGCCACCTGCAGATGTGCTGAGTCTTCTAGCACAAGTACTAGAAGCATACCTGCATAGATAATATAGCAACTCTATTTCAACTGTTTTACATGTGTTAGGACAAGCTGACGCCTGCCAACTGCATTCATGTCATTTCAAACTACTGAGGGAACATTGTATAATTTGTTGAGACTCTTTTGTACATCCTGGACTTGTAAGAGCTGTGTACTTTGCATGTTCAGACGGGTTAAATGTTGTAATTGCCCTGGACCTTCGCCCAGTAAATCTTGTTGAGCTGGAAAGGGGATGTGAATATGTCACGCTTTGCATTCAGCTGTAGGAAGGAAGTGCAAACCATCGCAGTCTGAATGGATGCATTCCTATGAGACATTATGTCAAACTAGCTGTTATTGAT